TTTTATTTTTATAAAATTAATAATTTTAATATTAAAAAATAAAAATATTTTAAAAAATACATACACTTATTTATTTTTAAATATGTCATTATTAGTCATTTAATGTTAAACAACAGCCGTTAACTACCCACTTCCGTTATACGTCATCCGCTATCCGTTAATTGCCACCCGTTAACTGCCACCCGCTATCTGCTACTCGTCACCCGCCACTCGCTACCCATCACCCGCTATCGCTATTCGCTATCCACTACCCGCTATCCACTACTCGCTATCCGTTATCCGCTGAATTTTAACCACTGTACTAAACAGATCCAAAATAGAAGTGTGACATAAAAATAGATCGGAAAGAATATATATTCCCTCCATTCATTTTTTTGGTAAATCTACTTTGAGCTTTTCATGATATTTTTTCATGAATATTAAATAAAAACTTAATATATTATATAAACAATAATTAAAAAATTTTATCAAATAAAAATACTAAAAAAAAACTTTATATGAGAAAAAAAATTAATTATTATTTATATAAATTATTAAATTTTTATTTAAAATTTATATTTAAAAAATCAAAAAATTAAAATAAATTAATTAAAAATAGACAGAAGGAGTGCAAAATATTTCATGCCCAATTAGACATTAGACATGACAGCTAAAAAATAGAAAAATTAAACATTAGACATATTTCATACGTTGAATCTGTCAACATTATTTACTGCATATGTGAGCAAAAGTACAAATTAAGCCGCTGGCGATCAGTTCCACCACCTTAGTTGTTAGTTGACCATTACTACTGCCCCATATTGCAAGGAACCGAACAAACCAATTCAATTGAATGGACCATAATCATTGTGATCACTTAGGAAAGACATTGGATCCATTTCAAATTTAAATTTTTACTAAAATTTTAGTACAAATTAATGGTTAAGAATTAACCTATTCTACGTATGAATTACACCTCATGTAATAACTCATGCATAAATGAATCCCAACCATACTATACCATCGCCTTCTTTGTTCACACGCCAACAAATAATTCAAGCATATACGGTACTGCATGCAACCTAGAAGTGTTCTATGATTTTTGTCTTTTTACCTAGTGAAGTAACACATAATACGTTGCAAAATAAAATTAAAAAAAGTACACTGTAATTCAAATCATATTAAATTTTAAAACACTAATTATTAATTTATGAAAACTTTTGATTACGGAGCAAACACTTACCATTCAATATCTGGTGTTTTAAGATCCGGCTGCTTTGCAGATATTAGTTCCTATTTTGTATGGCCGAGGAGATGGATATTCCGAACACATCTTTTGATGATCTGTCTGCGGTTGGCCTCGTTTTCCTGCAAAGAAAAGACGCATAATGATCAGACACTTTCCCTTTTATTAGTGTCTCCCCTGCACCTTCCCTTTCTCTTCAAATTCTTCACATACATGTAAATATAGTAGTGGTAGTAAAATTTAGGTTAGGCACTAAAAAAGCAGTCCATGTATGGATTTTACATAATTGACAGGCAATATATTATAACATCGTTATATATCTAACATTATGAGCATAAGCAGAAAGATTCTCTCAGAATCACGGGGTCATTTGCTGGCACATGCAGTTCAAATCTTCAGAATGTATATGACACTAGTGATGATACATGATATCCATCGAGCTGTCTTGAAAAAAAGGGAAAAGGACCTACTCTTTCAACGTTAAAAGGCTGTACTAATATTTTTAATGTTGCTGTTTCAAAAAACCGCCTAGTGTCCGGATGGTGGGGAGAAAACTGCCCGCAGTTTTTCTTACAAAACCACCAATTTTGTTGGATTCTCTCTTCACTTTTTCTTGTGGATTTCTCGTGTTCATATGTCAATGTCAAAAAATTTTGTCATGTATATCAATGTGCACATATTGGATTTGGTTGTTCCTTCTTCTATCAGTTTCTAATGTGTTTTTAATGCCTACCCAAAACTAGATAGAGATAGCTGGTGTCTATTATATCTTCTGTGTAACAGCGATATCATGCATGTCATCAATTCAAAAGTGAGGTTTCATATAATATCTTGTTAGATCGGCTAATTGAGAACGAAAATCTGTTGGTGCAGCCCACCGGATTGCGTAACGGAGATTGTTAGATGAGGGGGTGCACCTTTTAATAGTGAAGGCACTCTCTCAACTAACTACCTCTATTTTGCAATTCGATTACAAAATAACAAGTTTAATTAAGATTGTGACTCTCATCTTAACTAATACTTTATGTATGTGTCAAAATTTCATTACAAATTCTATTTCTCCTTTTGATATGAAGAGTTTTTATGGGACGATGATAAGCTTGATGAATTATATATCCAAATCCCAGATGGGATACTTACCATATTCCTCTCAGGCATACCTGGTATGAAGAATTTTGAGACCATTAAAATGTAAATATGATTAGATTTAATTTAGACTTCTTCTTCTTTTTTCCTCTAAGAAACAAAATAAAGTAACGATTTATAATCTTTCTGGAGTTCCCTGCAATCGATTGTTCATCATTATCATTCACGTTTAATCATTTTGAATGTAGAAAAATCATTTGGCTGTAGCTGCTGAGAAATTTTGGCTAGAAGACATTTTCTAGAGTCTCTTTTTTCCCCTAATATATGACATTATTGACCTTGATAGCATCCTGGATGACACTATTCCTATGTGAACACTGTCAGAATTGGTCCTTTTTGTCAAACTCAGGTTTTTTGGAAGTATTCCTAACATTTTTTTAAAAACATGATTTCACCTTCAAAAAGATTAAAAGCTAATACCACAAACCTATAGGATATAGCCTCTAAAGTAAAGATTTTACTGTTAAGTATTTTGAAGTTATGTTAGTTTTTATCAATTTTTAAGACTTTTATACGAATTCATGATTTTGGTAACGGTTGAAGCAACCCCTATGTTTTAGCCTTTTAGGAGTTAAAAAAAAAATTGAACAAGACAAGCCTTACTTTGATTTCAACTTGGAGTTTTTCACTGCAATCATATATGCTGAGGGGTCAACTTGGTGTGAAATGTGTACCTCCATTAATTTGGATAGAAGCTAAGTTCATGTCACAAAACCTTCCTATCAATTCCAGCTGAGGCTCACTTTTGCCTGCCAAAGAAACAAGAGGAAATGATGATACAAACAAGGAGAAAATGATGCACACTTTTGTCATCTTGGTAAACCTGGTGGGACCATGGCACTGGAAAAAGGTATATGGCAGCGTTCTAACCCCTCCCCTTACCCTCATGCAATGCCAGTCCTGAATCCTTCTCTCTCTTCTTCTTCTTCTTCTTCTTTTTTTTTTTTTTTGTACTCTATATTCTGTCCTGTTTCAGGTTTTCAAACCTTGGGACATGACAATTCATGATCCTAATAAACCAGAGTTCGACTACACAGACACTGAATAGAGTACAAAAAAATTATTTTTCTACCTATTCATGCAGTGTTTAACATACATTAGCCAAAATGAATCTTTTAAGAAATGGTATATTCAGAAACCTGGTGTTTATGTAAACTTGAATTCATATAGACTAATAGCTGGGAATCTCGCTGGAAATCTCATTTTCTTTGAAAATCTAGAAACAGGATAGATTAATAGCTGTTGGTTAAGTTATGATCAAATAACAAAAAAAAACTAAAACAAGGTGCGTACTTGGAAGCTCAGTGATAATAAAGTAGAAAAAGTGAGGAAAGAACAAGAGGCCCACCAACCCCCTCTTGAAGTTGTGAACATTGCCAAATTCCAGAGGCAGTGAGCAATGGGACCCAACTCAGCAATCCATTTCTGTGTTTATGTGAAAAAATTATTATAGCACTCAAGTATACAAAGAACCTGACAGGGTCTATGGTGTTATAACTCTCACCTTTTTTTTGTTCAGACAGAGTTGTGGGTCAAAGTTTCATGGACATACAAATTACTGAAAAGTGAAATGTGTGAAGTGTACTTCTTTTAACCGTTGATAGAGAGGTAAACTCTCCATCGGACTGTAAAATAACATTCTTTACAAATTAAATATGAGTTTGTTTGATTGCAGAAATTTCGGTGAAAAGGACATGAAATCACCACCCCAACAAATTCCATTTCAAGCTTAGGCTCTAAGGATTTAGAAATACATACTTTATTGCATATATGTATTAACTATTAATGTATTATATTGAAAATTGAAAACATCTCACTTTTTGCTGTATGCATCTATATATTCTTCAACTTGGGGCATTTTCATTTTCTCAAGGCATCGCCTTAGAATATCATTCTTCAGAGAGAGAAGAGAAAGATGGAGCTAAATGAACAAGGTTTCTTAGAGGAATTGCTAGCAATGAGGAGAGATTGTTGGGATACCTTTCCAACAGAAATGAATGAGCCTTTCTCTGGTAGTTGGAGCTTCAATTGCCTTGATGCAAACCAAGCTACCATGCTTCCAAATTCTTTCCCCCAAGAATTCTCCGTGCCTTTTGAACAAGACTTGAGCTACTCCTTCAATGAAGCCTACTGTCCCTTCAGTGATGAGTTCTCGGTGGCACAAGGGACAGATTCTTCGAATAACACCCTTGGTGTACCACCATTTCCTGTTCAAGAAGAGTATATGTTGAATATGGTGGAGGATGAAGAACCAGGTCTACTTGCAGATGAACTACACAAGTTGGACGTGCAAGCTGCCTGCAAAATGGAGCAAATCCAATCTCCTGAAGCCCAAGTTTTCAACATTGGGACCTCTGTAGACCGCAAGAATCGAGCCAAGAGGTTAGAAGGGCAACCATCAAAGAATCTGATGGCAGAGAGAAGGAGAAGAAAGCGGCTTAACGACCGCCTTTCTATGTTAAGATCAATTGTTCCCAAGATAAGCAAGGTATGTAGAGTATGTCTTTCGTGAATGTTTGACATTTACACACTTCCATTATGCCTAATGCAAGTTTTTTCCCTCTCTTACCAGATGGACAGGACGTCCATACTTGGAGATACCATAGACTATATGAAAGAACTCCTAGAGAGGATCAGAAATCTGCAACAAGAAATTGAAACAGGTTCAAATCAGTTGAACATGGTGAACAATTTTAGGGATGTCAAACCCAATGAAGTTTTAGTAAGAAATACACCAAAGGTATGGACCCTGCAGGATTCTTCACTACACTAAGTCTAATTTCATATGTCAAATCTTCAAT